CCAAAGTTCGATTCATTTGGTAGGATATCTTTCTGAAGGAAAGTTTATCTCTAACTGGGACCCGACTGTCACTTATCAATATAGACAGTCTGGCAACATTTTATTCCGAAATTTTAGCCTTTGTGCATGTCAAATCACAAAAGGAGAAAAAAAATGTTTAAAGCAGGCACAAAAACAGAATAAAGGCAGTACCAAGTTTTGTCATGAATAATGATTCAGATATTCTTTACCTTTAGACTACCCAACTCTCAACAAAAATAAATAAATAATGAAGTTTTAGGAGATGGATAACCAATATAGAAATTAATGGCATTGAAGTAAGGGGGAGAAATTCATTGCATTAAAATGAGAAATGGCTATTAATGAGATTAGTGCCTTAAATTTAGTTGCTAGACTACCATAGTGAAATCTTAATGTTAACAATTACAAATTGATGAGATCAAGGACACAAAATTCAGGTATCATCGTTTCACATGGAAGAACCATTGTTGGATAGCAAGAACTGCCTGTATCCACCATTGTTAAGGCTTAAGAATGATTTGAAAAACTAACAAATATGGTAGAATCAACAGGTGAAAACTCCAACTCCGCATAGGAAAAGAAAATCTTATAGCAAGACACCATGTGAAGGACTAGACAAAAAGAAACATAGGATTTTTCTTATTATTGTCATTCAAAATAGCTTCTTGATCAAATTGCATATATAGATAATCCGACCAAACATTAAGCTTTAAAAGAGCATATGTGGTTACACGACAGATCAGCAAAATTAACCTTGAATTAAAAGCACAACATGAAGAATCGATAGATCAGTAAGGCCTAAGGATGCTTCTAGAGATTGACTGTGAGCTATTGGGCTTTACTTTCGCCAGTCCCCATCTCCGGCTGCTCCTCATGGGCGTCAGGTAAAAGCGTAAGAGTCCATTATCAACATGACTAGGCGAATACCTTGCACTTCGATTCCTCTCCAAAACAAATTCATCCTTGCTCTTCTTCCCATGTCCATTCAGTTGGATGTCTGATTTTCTCGCACTCCCATATGATCCCAGAATGTGATTGGAACTTCTCCAGCCCACACTACTATTGCTCCGAAACATATTCCTGTTAAATTCTCCTCTCTCGGAAAATGACCTCTCCACCCCATCAATTCTACTATACCTCTCATCATCCTCGTCCTTGTTCCCACCACCACGTCGGTGTATAAAGCCCAATATTCTCCAACTCCACCTCTTAGATTTTTTCAACTCCTTTTGCTCCCCATTCCCTATCATCGAATCATTATCCCTAAACCCACTACTCAACTCAAATGTATCTGAATAATCATCTCTCAAGGAATTTGAATTTGAATCCCTCAACTCTGTTTCCGCAAACAATGCCTTAGCCCCATAAAAGTGATCTGCAGTAGCAGGTAAAACCTTGGCATTAGAAACGACCTTCATTTCATCGGCCTCTGCCACCACAGCAGCAGAGGCCTTCCTAACAGAACTGGACCTATCAAGACTCTTCCTTTTTGAGGAAGAATCTGCATAGTACTCCATAGTCTGCACAGACCCTCCAGGGACACCATCGTCCCCATTAGCACAGTTCACTGTCGTCATCACTGGATCCTCTACTGGAATCTGCATATCAGATCGTGATACATTCATAGCTGGTGCATCCTCCATCACAGAAACCATAGGCGCCATCCTTGGAAAACTCCTCCCAATCAAATGCCCATCCCAAGAAGCCCGAGGCTCGTCAAAGGAATACCTTGGATCATCCAGGCTAATTCTCCCAACATCAAGAGAAAACCTTGGGTCAGTATCACAAGACCTCCTCCCAAACCCGTATTCTGCAATTTCAGACTGCGTCTCTCTGTATTGCCTCGAGATTGGTTTTTCGACAGGCAGTTTAGCTAAGTGTTCACCATTATTCTGCTTCTTCATCTTTTGTTTCCTCCACTTCTGCCATTTCTTGCTAAAAACTGAGGCAGCAGCCCAAAATCCCCCTCCAGAACTCTTCTTCACCTGAATATCAAGATCTATATGATCCTTCATAGCCTTCAAATTATTCACATTTACCATCTCTTCTTCTTCTTCTTCTATCTCAGCTTCATCCACCTCTCTTTCAAGGTCATGTCCAATATCTTCTAAAATGAAATCTTGAACTGGAGTAATTTCATCTTTGTCATCATCATTATCAGCAGCAGTAGTGTCCTCTATGTTTTCAGGGTCTTCAAAATCATCCCCACTTTCGGTCTCCGATTTATTGACAACACAAGATTCGCATTGCTTGTTGGTCAGTCCATATTGTGGGTTTTGAGTAGAAGTAGATGGTTTATTAGCGGTTTTATTGTCGTTGTTGATGGTGAAGAGTGACCCAAGGGTGTTCCTGACGCGGACGTCACAAGATCTTCTCTGGGGCTCAAAACCACCGGAAAAGAGGCCAAATCCTTCGTTCTTAGAGGCTGAAAATGATTTAGTGCGACGAAGGTCAGGAAAAAATGAGGTGGGTTTAGAGGGTTTCTGAGGTGGAAGTGGGGGGAAGTTATAGTTGTTGTTGGTAGCTGTAGCTTTAGAGGAGGAAGAGAATAGAGATTTAATGGCAGCAGCAGCACCGGAGACGGAGGGCCGGCGAGATGAGGAGGGGGTAATAGAGGATGATTGATCTAGTGTGGTGAGGCGCTCGCAGAGGCAAGAAGGACAGAAACCAGAAAATTGCTCATGAGGGTGGCGGTCGCAGCTGAAAGACGACCGAGGTGGCTGCAGCTGCTGTGGCGGAGGTGGTGGTGGCGCAGTTGGGTCTTCAACCGTAGGATTCATAACCGTTTGAGCTGACTAAGTGCAATGCCCCCCCCAATACATGCTAACAGCATTCCATTTCATAAACTCAGCAAAGAGAGCAATTTGATTATGAGTGTGTAAATTAGAGTGTTGAAGAGAGAGTTGTGTCTCTGTGTATATATCTGTAACTTTGTGCATTCTCAAATCGCTTTCTTTGCTTTTCCTTTTTCTTGATTTGGGGTCTCTTTTTGTTTTTCCTCTTTTCTTTTTCCTGTTTTCTACAGTGCTTTTATTTTAGGGAAAATTATTTATGTTTTTCAAGTTATAATTTCATTTAGAGTAAGTTTGATTTGTTTGACTTTCATGTAAAATGTCACATTCGATTTCTATTTTGATTGTTTGATATGAAAGTAAAAATGAAGTTCGAATTCCAATGTAAAATCACTTTAAATACTTTTTTTTATCAGTTTCGTGAAAAATACATTCTTACGGGATACTTGAATTTTCATTTTTCAACTTACATGAAATAAATTTCGTGCTAGTCGTTACTATGAGTCTTATGTCCCATGCATTTGACTAGCTCGTGTAGTTCACCAATTCTACAGAAAACTCAATTTTCTATTTATTTTAAGGATTATGCTAGTTGTACAACTAAGGTTGACAACCACTCATATGGGAGGATTCACTTTTTTTTTGAATTGTTTAAACATACGGACCCCCCGCATATATGTGAGAGGTTGTCAACCCAGATTATCAATGTCGATTGTACAAATAACATTTTCCTTATTTTAATTCCCATTTGCAACTTGTTATAAAATAAGTTATATGTGAAAATTGGATTAAGCACTGACTAGTGGACCGTGAAGAAAGCAGAGTGCTGGCTCCGACTTCACCTTAGACAGGCTGTTGGGCCCACTTTCTTTCATTGCAAAACACACGGGCCCATTGATTCTAATTATTCTCATGCCATGAGAAAAAGAGAGAAAAAAAGTGTTCATGTATTTGGACTTAAAAAGTTTTAAAATTATTTACAATATGTACCTTCTTTTTGAAAAAAAAAAATTGCATATTTGCCATTTTAAAAACAAAAGTTGATTATATATATACTCTAATTACAATTTTTTTGAGAAAATACATCTTTTACATTATGCTCATGTTTGATAAGGATTAAAATCAGATTTTTCGTAAATTTTGATAAAAGCTGATGAAACGTGCAGTTGAAAAGTTGTAAATATAGAGTCAAAACTAATCGTTGACTTTAATTAAGAATGAAATCTAGGTTTTAATCCCTACTGTGTTAGAGCTAAATAAATAACTTGAAAACCCATAAAATCCCAATCCTAATTCATCACCGACTCTAATTAATTATCACCATCTCTCTTTTTTCTCTTGTTGCCACCATCACCATACCGTGCTACAACCACCACTTTTACTGCATGAAAAGGTTTTCGAATTGATGTTGCAATAATAATTGTATTATTCAATCATTTGCATTTTTGATGTTTTGGATTAAACAAATTTTTACCAGAGAGTTATTATAATACACTTTTTTCACTTGTTAAATGGAAATAATCCATCTTTCAAATTAGAGGTTAGATTAAACTTGAGTGTATCCCTCTTGATTATTGTGTTTAAGGGTATGAAATTGAATTAGATGATGACTTAAAGATCTCAACGTGGTGTTAGTAGTCGATTGATCAGTGATGGTGATGTTGAATTTTTGGTGGCTGAATAATGGTGGATTTTTACATTGGTTTGGTGGCATTTGCTTCCGAGTGGTTTGACGATTGTGATAGTATGTTATTAGGCGAATTTGGTGAGGACGGTAATGGTGATGTGCCCGTAATGGTGAAGGTGGATTTTTCAAAAAGGTTACATTTATGGTACTTGTGTGTTTTCATTGGTAGTGTGTTTCACGCGAGTAACATATATGTTGGTTGTGTTTTCTAGTGGTGGTGGTGACAAACATTGGTGTGGAGTGGTTTTATACTAGTAACATAGTAGGTTACTTGTGTTTCATTGTAGCTATGTTGGTGACGGTGGTGTGGAGCTGTTTCAAACTAGTTTGTGGTGGTGGTTCAGATGGGTAACATATATTTTATCGATGATTTGTGATAGGAATAGTAGCAAACATTGTTGTGGAGTGATTTCAGACGAGTAACATAATGTGTCAATTATGATTTGCGATGGTAGCGTTATTTTGTGGTGATGGTAGTGGCAATTAGTTATACGGAGTGGTGTTAGACTAGTAATATAAATTATAATATATATTTATCTTAAATTTTTTTTTTAAAATTAAAACTTAAATATTTTAACGATACTCTACAAATAACACAATAACACATGTTATCCAACATGTAATTCGTAAAAAATGTTGGGTTTTCAATAAAATTTTGAAATGATTTTAAATGAAAATGAGGTATATTTCAAAAAAAAAAAAAAATTATAGGAGGATGTAAATGTAGAATATAGATTTTCAAGAGGTGGTTCTGAAAAAAGAAAAAAAAAAAGTAAGAAAGAAAGAAAATTGAGAAGGAAGTATTTATAAATTTTTCAGACAAAAAAAGTAGGATTATTTTGATGTTATCCCAAAGTTTTATACCAGGTGTAGACTAGGAAAATAATACATTAGAAGATTGCAGCCTTCCTTTGCCAAATGTATAAATAGTTTATAAAGAGAAATAATAGTGGATTTTACGAAATATTTAAATAATTATGAGTGATAGTTTTGAATTTGTGGTGAAATTTATGCTCGATTTTAATTGAATTTATAAACCATTTCTAAATTTGTATCCAAACATCGGATTTTTTTTATTCTTTAATATGATACGCTTAAAGTGAAAATTTATTTTCAAGAAAATAATTTTGTTGGACCAAAATACGTAAATTTGACTTATTTTTTAATTACTAATAATGTACAATAAAGTTCAACTCACATTAACAAATCCAAAAGTGATTCTCTATCTCTTGCCTTTACTTTTCCTTATACGAAAAATATGACAAAAAAGGGAGTTTGAATATTTGTCTATCGATATTCAAGGCTTGTCTCTTTATCTTCTTTGTTTATTTGGACAAAAATTCTCTCCACTTTAAATTGTAGGGTCCCCTCTTAAGTCTCATACCAATTTCCATTTTCTTCCTAGAATAATCTCTCCTATACCATCAAGTTTTAAGAGTAAATCGAAAGTTGAATATACATTAAATCTCAGACATATCGTTTAATCAGTCTTAAAATTTACATTATAGCAAGATGATATGTAATGCAGGAATCCAATAAAAGATAAACCAAAGGTTCCTTGGATTTCACGGAAGTTACTATATCAAATAATGTTGTCTTTTATTAGAGTAATTATTGTACATAATCACAAAGACAAAATAATTGGTATCTCTCTAAGATATTCTTATTGTTATAGGGAACTATTTAGATTGCATCATTTCAATGAAAAATGGGATTGTTGATTTGATCTCTTTACCCCACGCAAAACACATTTTGTCTAGTAAAGAACACTCTCTCGAATGATATCCCACTATCAATTAAGCCTTCATTTTGGACCCAAATTGTCAATTCACAACTTTAATCATGAGAATATAACCTAAAAACAAGGGATGTATAGTGCTCAAAAGTAAACTAGGCCAGCACTGCATGTTTGCACGTCGTGCTGAATTTATCCATAAAAAAAAATTACGCTTGATACAATCGAGATGTACAATTTGTATCAAACTTAAACCACGTCAGGTCCAAAGACAATAATTTTTTTAAATTGCCAGCTACACACCTACCATCCAGATTGACACAAGACAAGTTTTCAAACAACTTGGCTAGGCTGCTCGACTACTATAATCATGTTAAATGCATATATAGTACACAATATTCACCGTAATATATAAAATTTTAGTTTTTTCTTTCTTTCTAAATATTGTGGGAGCCAATTTGATGTGGGCAATAGTCATTTCATTCTTAATCCAATGGTGCAATTAAGCACTTTGAAAAAGAAAAGCATAAAATCACATAATTATTTGTAGCTCAACTTCAGTTAAGCACTTAACCTCTTGATGCTAGAATCTTTTGTATTTTCTGTTCAATAGGCCTGCAACACAAGATCCTAATCTTCCACGAGCCAAGATTACTGGTTAGACTGAATCATGGTACTGATAGGTTTAGATTCATACGACCCGATTAGCATTGGGATAATACAGCAATAAAAGTAGCATATGAAAACCTATTAAATTTTGCTCTTTCTCCAATCTCTAGAAGAATACACGTTGAGTGAAGGAATCCCAAGAAAAGAACATAGAATTTGGCATGTTATTAAAGCCATAAAAGTGTGATCTCTGGCTTCTTAGTTCTTAGGGTTACTGCATGATCCACTGACCTGCTTTGAGATTAACAAGAAAAGGGTTTTCGCTGAAGTTTTTGTTTATTGAAATTACATGAAAATCATCGATCAAAGGTGACCTAATTGCTTTTTATCTTCACCTTTTCTTTTGTTACACTAAGAAAGTGAGTAGTGATGCTTGTGCGAGTTTGCATGCAGGAAAGACCAAATCTTTGTGCTCTTTTTGGTTGGAATTTCTCTTTTTGTGGAGTTCATGTTTTGTTAAAGTCGAACTATGAATGAATATGGCCCCAACAAGGCCTTTCCAGGCTGGGAATTCCATGCAAATCGAGCAGCTTTTTTGAGCCTATATTTGACTCGAGATTTTGGGAAATGTCCATTTTTATTTTGCACCGATTCAGTGCCAGTACACTGAGTTGTTGGGCCAGAAACCTGTAATTGGACAACTAGAAATCACCTCAAATCTCATATTGGTTTATCCGATAGTCCCACTTGCTTTAGGAACAATTATTTCAAGGGTTAAAAACGTTGTTGGTCACTCAATTTTAACCAAAATCTTGTTATAATAATTCGACTTCTAACGTTTATTTGATTTCAATTGTCATGCTGTAGTATAAGTCGTTGCAAAAATTAATGAAGCTACTCGCGTGTAAGAAGAAATATGATCGTGAAACTCTTATAAATGCATTATAAGAGTTCAAC